AAAATGACAAAATGATACACTCTTTGCACACTGTCAAAGGTCATTGCATACAATATCAACTTGCTTCTAAGAAACTTCTATTACAGCGAACCACATTATTTTAATTGATTTCGTCGCCAGTTAGTCGTCTTTAATTTCGTTTGAGCTAGAACGCACCCCTCGCAATGCTGATTTGCAGTTTCATTATTCTAGCACTATTTTGCACCAGATTTGCTACTGCTCGACTATTCGGTTTTATTTCTGAGTGGGTTTAGAACACGAATGAACTATGTTTCAAATTTCTTTGGATGTGTTTATTGAAATTTCTCGTAAATGTTCAGAAATCTTCGTAGAAGTTCAGCAGTTTCATTGAAATTTTGGAATTTCACAGAAATTTTGGGAACTTCTGAGAAGTTTGAGGGTATTTTATAGAAGTTCGGAGAACTTCATTGTAATAACGAAGAGCTTCACAATAAAATCGGAGAATTTCATAGAGACCAGTAAACTGTATGGAAATTGTATTTTTTTTTAAGTTTCATGGAGTATCATTGAAGTTTAATTAATTTCAAAAAAGTGAGAGGTATTTCATAAAAGATCAGGGAACATCATTGTAGTGCTGAGAATTTCATAGTATATTATAGAACTTCATGGATATCCATGGATCTTCATAGAATTTCATGAAACCGCTTGCGTCTTTTACATCAAGAAGATATTCACCCCTATTCTGTATTTCGTTTCAAACGAAATTCTCATACAAAAAAAAAATTTTTTTTGTATGAGAATTTCGTTTGAAACGAAATACAGAATAGGGGTGATTCTCTCATATGATACCAGGCTGCTTAGAAGAGATCATTCCAATGATCTACAAGTGTTCTAAAATGTCTATGAAGTTCTTTAGATATTTTGTCAAGACTTCAGGTTGATCAGGTACGAGGGGGGCGACGCTATCTACGATGCAGGAAAAATTGTGTTTTGCTGTGGTTAGCTGCGCGCACGCTGAGTAGATGTGAAGAAGATTGATGACGATTTTGAAGATTTCCTGCAAAAAGATGATGCGCGATGCAAGTAGATACGAGAAATCAAAGAAGATTTTTCGAAGTTTGATTCGCTAGTGTGAGATTTGTTGAGCATCTAAAATTGAGATTTAGATGTGTCACCCCCCTCGATCAGGTATCATTCGGAAAATATTGTGATTCTTAAGAAAAATCCACATAATACCCAACAACTTATGCGCCGATCAGTTGCGCGCCGGGTTGTGCGCCAGCTATCTTGATGAATATGTAAACAAACAAACGTCAAAAAAAATCCGTATCGAACAGCAAATTTTCCGAGTTTGTTCTATTCATAACAGTTTCCAAATCCATACTTTCCATAACATTGACAAAATGTATCGAATTAAAGAAGAGGTACTTGGCCGACATGCATCAACCAATACGAAGTATCACGTGCTGTACGGGTTCTATTTCCTGGGCTTGTCCAAATCGCAATTGGCAAAAATGTACGGGAAGCATCACACTACAATTAGTAGCTGGATAAAACGTTATCGCGAAAGTGGATTGGTGGCTCGCAAAGAGAGAAGAAAAGTGTCCTTGCAGTTTGGAGCAGAGAAACGACGGTGGTTAATCGAACAGTTTAAAAAAAAATCCGACATTATTCTTAGATGAGGCCAGGGATAGTTTTGAGAAAACTTTCAACTGCTCCATCAGTACGTCCTCTGTTTCCAGAATACTACACGAGCAAGAATATACGTGGAAAGTTCTAGAGCGTCGGGCGATCCAGGTTCAAGAATCTCAGATTTGTCATTTCGTCAATGAGCTGGCTGCAATAAACTGGGACCTACATCACCTTATCTTTTTGGACGAAGTATCGATCGACAACAGAGGTATGTTGCGGAATCGAGGCTACGCCAAGGTCGGCGAAAAATTGATTTACAGGGGTGAATTCAACCGCAAAGCCAGAGTATCCTTACTCTGCTTCTTGGGCCAGACAGGAATGAAGAACACGTACTTGACGGAAGGAACTTTCACGAGGGCAAAGTTCTTTGAATGTTGTCGTAGCTTTGCCAACAGTGGAGAAGTTTATCGACACCCTGGAGTTAATTCGGTCTGGATCTTGGATGGGGCTAGAATTCACTGCCATCGACGAATAGTTGAGTACCTCCGGTCATTGGGAATCCATGTTATCTTTTTGCCTCCGTATACACCGTTTTTCAATCCAATCGAGTATATTTTTGGATACTGCAAGAAAAAACTACAACGTGTCTACGTAGAAAATAGCTCTTCGGATCTCACAACAACCATTTCTGCGACGTTAAATACATTCACGAACTTTAACTGCACTCGTGTATTCCGCAAATGCGGATATCTGCCAGGTGGGAAATTCAATCCGGCAAACGGACTAAGTCAAAATATCGAATCATTGGGATTTGAGAATGTACGTAATAAGGATTAATAAACAATAAATCAAATAATCAAATGTTGTTCACCTTTTTTTATTTCATAAACTCTAAACAAAGAGATGTTCAATAAGCAACAGCTTCAATCAGTTGGTCGTCCCGAATGCGTATGGAATCGTTCGGAATCAGGATCAGCAAATCGTTATTGATGGTCGACATCCAAGCAGTCGGTCACTTCCTCGGCGAGTTTCTGCCCAAAGCTATCTTCAGATACAGCAATACTGCCAGACACATCTGCTAGCAATGAAGTGTTAGTTGCCTGCATCGTTTGCAATGCGGTCAAGCGCAATTGCATCGCCTTAGCATATGTCATAAGCTGGTCCAAATCTGCTTGCAGGCCATCCAACAATTGTTTATACCCTGAATTAACATTTTGGGCAATGCATACATCCTGACGAGTGTGATTCAGCACGTTTTGAGAGCATGAGGGAACCGTCTGGAACAAATGTATCAGATGTTGGGGAGGTCCTCGTAACTTCAATTCCTCTCGTTCAAGCGCGTCTTTGGTCAGTAAGTACGAAGCCCATACAGACCAGTTGATGTCCGATGAAATGTAGGATAGCTTGTAGAGTTCCTTCAACTCAGTGGACAAATTACTGTTTGCCTGGTTGGATGCTGCTCCTGCTCGGTCACGCTCCTCCGGTTTTATCAGCTGCACTCGCAGTGTTTCGTCACTAAGGTCACCGACTCCGAATAAATGTGCACAAACACGTTAATATCTCTGTTCAGAAATTTTTGCATTTTGTCTGGCTTTTCTAGCAACTGTAATGGTTTAAACGTGCGTTTCGAGGCTTTATCTTGGAAGGAGATGAACTTATCCATATCGCCGACTTTTGGGTTCAAATCATCATTCCAGTGCACGGTAAATTGATCAGCATCTCCACCAGCGAGTGATTCAAACACGGCCTCTCTGCGAATGAACTTTTCACAGTAATCCCATACAGTTTGCATTACCTCCTCAGCTGATTCACAGTTCACTTGCACTTTTCCCACAGAAGGACCTTTTTTGTGGCCCTTGAAGTTTCTGATGAATACAGTTGCTGGGAATCGAAATATTTGTTTTGGCTCCGCTAGTTCACTTTCACTTCCAGGGCTTCCGGGCGAAGCAGAATCCAGTGTATCCTGGAACGATCGTTTTGCCTGCTGCACATTTGATGGTCCTGCTTCTGCTTCCTCCTCCAGAAATTCTACCTCGTAGTCAACCTCCCGTCCCTCCAAACCTACAAAAGTTGGAGACATATGCATGATGGCACATCTGAAAAAGAAACACTTATTATGAAATGCATTTCATTTGAATTGATACGAAAAATATTTTACCTGCGGTTCAAAGCCGACGTCGAACGGGCACAGCAGAAATCAAATGAAGCCGCTAGGAAAAATGAGTTGACAGTTTGTTTTGTTTTGTTTGGTGAAGGGTAACTGATGGGTTGTTGACTATGTACGATTGCAAGTAATTTTTTTTTATTTGTTGATTTGCAACTGTTTTATGTGAAATTATGATTCACTGGCCCGAAATACATATAGGTAATAACGAGTTGAAGCTTTAAGAAGGGTAACGTCAATATTTAAAGACAATTTTAGAAGCAATATAAGATTTCGTTCGAGTCAACTATCAGTCACATACCCTTGCGCACAAAAGAGTGACAGCTGAGCAAATCAAGCTTTTGCTAGAATTTCTCGGGAACCACAATATTCCATGTGTATTAAAATGTCTATAAAGTCCTCTGCATAATTTTTCAAGACTTCAGGTACTGATGAAGAAAATCTCAAACTATCCAACAATTAAAATCATGTCTCCCAGATATTCCAAAGGCCACGTGATCAGAGATCTCCGAAAACTTCTCAGGACGTTCTCATGTTTTCCCGTTGATTTAGTATAATTCTGAAGATCTTCAACTGCCCAACAATTCAAATCTAGTTTCTCAGATATTCGCCCACGTTACCAGGTTGCTCAGTAATTGTGATCAGCTATCATACTTTCTTTACATGTTTCGACAGCAGAATCGTCCGGGACCTCTTCTCGTGGTTCGAACTAGTTACCTGATACTGGATTACGAATCACCGAAGCAAACCAAATTTGCACACGCACACATATGTAGAGATAAACACAAACACAAACACAAACATTTACATTTGGCTAGGTTCGCCCCCTAATCACAATTTACACCGGATCTACCGGTTTGGACGGTGGAAAGTAGTATTTTCTTTTATTTCATATTTGTTGGCCGTTGGAGGAATAAAGGGAGAAATATCCGTCCTGCAGCCATCTTTTTCGTAGACCAAGTGTGCAACTAGACATTTTCATACTGCCGTACTCTAACGGAACTATCCACCTACATTCTTCTAAAGATCATTCTCTAGCTAATAAATCATCACACTAAAGCTTCATGTTAGCATTTCCAACCAACTCTGAAAATCGTTAACTTCGCGTATGAAGTAACATAAAAAACACTTTGAATGTAGACATGTAGTTCATTCCTCATTCAAATGTACCTGCAACGGAAAATTACTAGGATGAACAGAACAGTGAAGTGTGATGTGGACAAACAAACGCATTTATTTCTGATCGCACCTTTATTAGCTTCAAATAGTTCCGGTTGACAGTTTAGTGTTTGTGTATATAAAGATGAAAAAAAATATAAATCGAAGCCAATGTAAGAGCATTGAACTCAACGTAACGAATGAACAGCTTTGTTAACTGTCTATAGAAACCACTTTGTATAAGGTTGTAGGCGGTATAATCTCTTCCAAAGTAAAAGAAAAAAAAAAACAATTGTCTGCAAGTGTAATAAGTGCCGGCTAAAAACTTTCGTGCCTCTACACAACTTATGCGTGGCTGATCAGATGGTCTACATCTACGCTTATCTAACTTCCTAAACATATCCACTCTACTCCAAGGCACTAATTGAACTATTGAAGTTTCTTCCGCCAGTTGCTGTCAGCTGCAGCTTTACCTACTTGCGAATAAATATAGAACTGTAACTGTAAAAGGATGTCGGACACTAACTGCCCTCAACGAACTATTTACTACGTTTCTAAAAAATCTGGTTTCTCTCTTTGTCTGCGACGAATCTCATTTTACTGTACGCGGAAAACTACATATTTTCTAATTTATAATAGGGTGTCTCTTGCCATGCTAGCATATCTCTATCGTAACAATCGTTTGTTCAGCTGTAACCTATGGTTTTTTGTACCGGAAAATCCAGGAATCCTTCTCAGCAGCAAGGTTCCCTCTTGATTCTCACTCAGGAGACCGTCGTCTTTGTCCTGTCGTCATGCACCTTTTGACCACCGGCGGGTTTCGAAGCCGTTTCAGTTTGCTTCTTGCTGCTACTAGTTTCCTTCTGCCGGACGCGTTCCTCCCGGATCATGTCCCTCAGCGAAAATAGCTTTCGCGGACTGATGACATGCTGTTTCTTCCCGGGACTTTTCTTGTCGGAACTTTTCTTGGGGTTTTGCTCTTTTTTGATTCTCGTGCCGTTTAGCAGTTGAGCGAGATCCATGGAGTGTCGTCTGGCAATTTTCTTCGGCGGTGGCGGCTGGGTGGGAGCTTTTTTGGGCTTCGGTGTCGGATTGAGGTGGATTTGCTGTTTTTGCTTTTGCTTCTGAAGCTTCTTTCGGGGCTTAATGCGCAGCTTCGATTGAGGGAATCTTGCGTTCGTGACCATGTTGATTCTTAGAGACGTAAGCAAATTCTGCAGTCGTCTTTCTTTTGGTGAATCTTGATGGTCTGGCGATGAGTGTTGTTTGTGCTTTTGCGGTTCAGCGTTTGTCTTTTTGGTGGACTTTTCTGTGCTCGCGTCGTGCTTTTCTACGGACTTGCTAGCATTGATGGCCAAACTGCTGTTCGATCCCAGGATGGTCTGTACGTAGTCTTCGTCTCCCTGTAGACTGATATTCTGGCTGTTGACCACCACCATTGCACTGTCGCGACCGTTTGAAGAAAGGCTGCCTTTGCTGGAGCCTGGCGATGACTCGATCACAATGTTTTCGGAGCTGGTCGTTTTGGCTGTCACCATCGATGTCGATGGAACTGTCACCACCGGGATAGCACCGGTGCTCAAAGGGGAAATGGTCGATGCGGAGAGCAGGTCTCCTGGTTCCGAAGACTGTTCTACCGTCTCTGGTGTTTCCACCTTGATTCGGATGGGAATGAGGCGGGGCTCGAAGGGTCGTAAGTTGGTCGATGCGGCACCGATGCGGTTGGTTGGAACTTCAAACACCGACGCAGAAGAGGCCGAATTTAGACGATGGTTCGTTCGATTCGGCACCGACAGTGTCCGTACCGGTGCGGATGGCTGATCGGCAGGTCGGATAGCTGGAAGCGAACGGACGTCCTTCATTATATCGATGCCATTTTCGATCAGATACTGGCGCAGTTTGGTATCCGACTCGGTGGCCTGCCGTTTGAAGTTGTAAGCCACGTTCAGCTGGACGATGCACAGGTCGCAGATCATTGGCGGGAGGTTCTCTATTTCGTCGATCTGAAACGGAAGAACAGTATCGGAGATGATGAGCTCAGTGTTCGCCATTGCGCAGGGAAATACAACAGGGTGTCGACTCAACGAAGAAAACTTTGTTCCCGGATATTCCCTGGTTTCTCAGATAAATAAAGATAAAGTTATCATAAAACGATCGGTTTAATCCCAACAACATGCATTTTCATAACTGGCTTGATCGCCAGAAAGTGTTCAACAAGTTCATTATCCCCTTATTTCCTCAATTTATTCCATTTCCTCTCCCTGACATGTCAATTTCCTCACCCTTATTAGTAATTTTTCTAACTGTTATGGATATTTCCGCATATGAAACACTTGTCTTTAATCCCCCGTTATAAAATATATTCCCCGTGCACACTTCAATGCCCATCCCATCTCCGTTGAACATTTGTTATGGATAACACGTTTTACGTTGATCGCAGTGGGATACCTCCGGTGGGAAATCGTTCACAAGCATGTATTGCACATCCCAGAGGTAACCAATGAGCCCGCTAATTTGGATTGATTTTGCAATATAAAGTTAAGCATATGACTATTATAGGGCTTCGGGACATTATTAGTCGAAATATTATTAAGCAGGCTTGTTGGTTACTTGGGATTGCCCCCCACTTTCTTTTCATCAGCATTCAGTGATCAATGTTCAGTCGGGTAAGCAGCAGGGTGTGACCGCTTATCACCATACATCACTTCACTTCAGTACAACCCTCTTAAATCAATCTTCTAACGACCGTTTACAATTTATTTTACAGTATTCGTAATGTAACTCGCGAGAAAAGCATTTGATGCATTACTGAAGAATACAAGCTGTTTGTATTCATTGTTTTTGAACCCTACAAATTTTATATACTATAGGTAGATACTTTATAATGCAGGTTTGAAAAAGAATTAATGTCGTTTTCGTTTTTACTACACTACACCGGTGTAGTGTAAGCAGCAATAAGCGCGAGTCATTGACAGTTTATCATCATTTTTTTGTAAACAAAGGTGCAACCGATAGCTACACTCTAAAATTTTTCGGTGTTCGGCGGTGTAGCACCGGTGTAGCTACACCGCAAAAACGAAAACGACATAAGAAATATTTCCCTGAAATATGGAATTTCCTGAGGTTCCCAGATTGGTCCAGATAGTCGACACCCTGACATGTTATAAGCAGGCCGGTGACAAGGCCTATACTAACAGCAGTGTTTGACAGTAGGCAGCATGTCCCGGGCTCAAATCGTTTATTTTGCTGTACTGGGCCCGCTGTCACCGTATAACATGTTGCCTACGCGCCTGCCACTGGGCTGGTTATAAGCCTATCTTGATAAAATTTGTCTTAACATGTTTTAACTCTGTAGTATGAACATAGCTGAAGTTCTAAAATCACTCAAAAACGTGTCGTGATTTATTACCACCCCCATATTATTTAAAATCCAAAACTGGATCGACCACTTAATCCAGCAGCACTGCCTAATGAAAATGCCTACATCCGGTTTTCCACTATCTACAAACAAGAGCACCCAGCTCTCACTCACCTTCAACAGCGTCACGTAGCGCAGCTTTTCCGAGATACGATTCAGTGACGATACGTTGTACAACGCATCGTGGGCCACGGTTTTCTGGAAAATATGCCTCGAGCCCTCCGTCAGGCATATCCGACATATTTTAGTCAAATTTTCATTCATGCTTCGCGCCCACTACAGCTCGGCTTGACAGACAACAGTACTCCCAGCACTCGAACTCAAAGCCCGCTGTTATGTATTTTATTGAGCGATGGAATGTACGAATATAGTAGCAAGCCTTGAAGAGACTCAGCGTAGAATCGCGAAGTTGCTTTCTTATGTAGATTTTCTTCTTTTCTCCGTCTTCGGTCGTTGTTTGTTCGCTCACTCATTCACTCGCGTCCCTTTCTTTAATGCTTACGAGGCAAAAGAAAATGCGAAAAAAAAAGTCTCACTCCTCCGCTGGAAAATAGCGCGCTATTTCCACTGCCACTTGCTACCGATTGGAAATTAACTTTTTCAAAATAAAACTCAGACTGAACTTTACCCAGCACACTTTCCACACCTCGGGGAGCTAGTTTTCAATGTTTTTCCCTTATAAAATCACAATGACCTTTTTCAGCTCTCGGTACACGATCGAGAAGAAAACGCGCACCATATTATTCCGTTCGGTACTTGCGAGTTGCGATACTCTTGCTTGCACAAAACCACCTCCGTCCAAGAACGTAATAAACCCGTTGACAAAAGTCGAAGCGAAAATCACTGCAAACGCGTGGTTGTGTTGGTGAGCGCGCATGCTCCAAACATGGAACAAATCTGGTTGTCTCTTTCTGGCATTGAAAATAGTCCGGTGGAGCGAAAGAGAAGGCAAACAATGGATTCGCCAGCGCGTCAGCTGGGGAAGCCCAGCAGTGTTCGGGTTGTTCGATTTGATCGTGAAACAAAACGTTTTTTTTCGTTTTATAGAGGTGACTACACGCTAACTTGTAAGTTCCCATTAATGAGTAAAATTTTACCCATTTTAGAGAAAAGTGGCTTTACTCATGAAATGAGTATAACCGACTTAACTCATTAATGAGTATTCGACGAATACTTCAGAAAAGGGGTTTTTTTTTATTCTTGATGCTTTTTTTGTTCATGAGCAGGGTTGCTTGCACTCACTTGCTATAAAAAAATATTTTTCGGAATTATGCAATCATTAGATGTTATAATGATATGTTGTACTAGTAAGTAACAAGAAGAGGGGGTAAAGTATGTGTTTGACTTATAAAACCTGTCAATTTCGCTTTCAGAGCGTCACAATCAGCGATCATATGATTCGTGAGCGTTCACTCAGAGTGAGCGCTCACGAGTCGTAAAATCGCTGATTGTGACGCACTGAAAGCAATATTGACAGATTTTATGTGTCAAACATATACTTCATGACCTCTTCTTGTAACTTACAAGTACTAATTAGCATTATACTATTTCATGATTTCATAATTCCGAAAAACATTTTTTTTATAGCAAGTGAGTGGAAGTAACCCTGTTCATGAGGAAAAAAATTTAATTTTATTGAAAATTTTGCGTCAGATGCATTCTGCCATCAAATATAAAACCAAGTAGTACCTTTTGGAAAAATTAATAAAAATAAATCATTAAAACGCTTTATATTGTTTATTGGCTCGGAATCAGGTGATCGAATTCTGCTTGAAACACTGCCGACATCTCAAAACCGGGCCGAGACCGGGCATCATCTTCAGCATCAGCTGACGTGTTGCAGTATTCAGGGGAAACAAGTTATCTGGTTGATAATAGTGTTCACCTATCGAGTCACAGTGGTTCTTCCGTATGAGTCTTGCAGTTCGCCGTTTGCATGCCATTCATCGACTGAGGATCCGGAACCATTCGCTTGTTAATGGCAGTTTCTTCATCGTAGATCCCCGCTATCCTGAAATGGGACACATTTTTTTTTTAGAAAATCTTAATTTGCTTGATTATTCCACTTTTATTCCTTACCTCCAAACAATCCGCTCCAGTTTGTACCCAGAAAGGCAATGCCGTTCTTTCCATAGCTGCAAAAGTCACGTAAATCCCGAACACGTAAAATTTCCACCTGATACGCGAAGATGGCGTCACTTTTATAATTCAAACCCTAATGAATATACACATTTTTAGGGCTAAAATATATTTTCTCAAATGTAAAAAAGTACCCGCTTTTATATTTTTGAAAAAAGTACCCATTTTTTGACAACTTAGAATAAATTCATAACGCATATAAAGGGTACTTTTGTGTTAGCGTGTACATATCCTACACGGTAAGAAAAAAGTACCCAAAAGTAAGTTCTTTTCACTCATCTCGGCACTATAGTGCAGGAACCCAAAAGTAGGTCAAACGGGTCAAAGTAGTTTTCATTTACTTGTGTGCAATTCGTATGGAATTTTCCACTCGCTTTCTACCCAAAAGTAAGTTAGTTGTACCCAACAGTAGGTAAATATGATTATACTCAACGTTGGGTTCCCACACTTTACTGCCCCTGTTGGGTGGTTTTGCTCCTCCGTTTTTGACAACATTAGAAGGAGAAAATGAGACAAACTAGTCAATAGTAGGTAAAAGTGTACTGGCCGTTGGGTACTTTTTTCTTACCATGTACATATAGGTGTTCTTATGTGTCAAATTCATGATTCAGCCATGTTGGATTTTTGTATGGGACAGCGACCGAGTTTGTTTACAATTTGCTCTAAAAACCGCACTCCCCCCCGCGACCTCGTCGCCTATATAGTGACAAAGCTGTATCACCATGTATACCCTAATAAAAAATAACCATAAACGAACGATAACCCAAATCATTGAACTATTCCACAAATGGTTTGGATGATACCCAGAACACGTCGTTAAGCAAATTAACCATACAGTTTTTATTAGGGTATACCCCCCCATGGTTTTTATGAACGCGATTCTGATTCTACTCAGTGACTGGGTTGCACTGTACCAAACCACCGTTCTCTGTTCGAATGAAACCTCAGACCATTCAAATCGAAACATCAAAATCACCTTTTCGAATGATAGCTGCAACCGGATGACGTTTTGAAATCAGATGATAACCCATTTAATGGGTTATCCTACTTTACTTCAAAATAGGTGAAATTGTACCCATTAATGGGTACGTTCCAGTTACAGTGTATAGTGCAGGAGCCCTGCACAGTTAGAAAAAAGTACCAAAAGTAAGTTCTTTTCACTCATCTCGGCACTATAGTGCAGGAACCCAAAAGTCGGCAATGCGGTTCAAAGTAATTTTCATTTACTTGTGTGCAGTTCGTATGGAATTGGAAGATTGCCGCAAAAGCTCAACGCAGATGTCGCCACTGCATGATGATGATAATGTTGACAGACTGCATTTAAAATTCGTGAAAATTAGCTTTAAATCATAATTTTCATCAAGCCTGCGTGAAATCCTTCCAATATAACATTCGAATTGAAGAAGAAAACGTTTTTACGATCAGACTGATGTGCATCTTTGACTTTTCCAGGTGAACTTTCATAAGATATATTCATTTCATTTCACGGCTTCATCAATGCTGCATCATAAATATGATGGTAAACAGAAGTAAATTGCTTAATTACTCGAAATAAAGATGATTTTTCATCTTGTTATGAAGAATTTCTAGCACCATTTTATAGTATGGTGCGTGTTGAGTAAATCAAGTTCCGGTGCGTTTCCGTCGAAAATTGTGAGTATCAATATGTTGCTTAAAAAAGGCCAAAATGGACATTTATTTATTTATTTATTTGTCGTCAATCAGTGTAGACCGTTTTACAATAGTGCTGTTGCCTTACATGCTATTTTAAAACATACGTTTTATTTGAAATTGTCAGCAAATGTAGACTGCAACAAATATCTAAAAAAATAAAAATTGTTTTAAACTTAACGAGATGAAATCCTAGCAGTTAGTGTTCTCCTTACTGTATCTTTAGACATCGTTAGATCTATATGCTCACAATAATTATTATACACTCTCATCATTCTATTAATTGGTCCATTTTTACCATAATTCGTTCTGTGAGGTGACAGTTGAAATACATTTCGAGTTCTTAACATGCGTGATGGTACGTAAAAATTTAATCTTGCTAATATTTTTTACGCGTTGTGAGATAATATCATTGACAAAAGAAATCATGGAAATTTCTCTTCGTTTCTTAAGTGTTTCAATGTTTATCAACATGCAACGGGACTCATAAGAAGGAAGGGGAAAAGAGGTCCAGCCTAGTTTCCTAAGAGCAAATAACAAAAACTGTTTTTGAACTGATTCCATACGATTTATATAAGTTTCATGGTATGGAGCCCAAACCACACTGCAGTATTCGAGAATTGATCTCACGTAAGCTATATAAAGTGTTTTGATGGTATATGGGTCTTTAAAATGATAACTAAATCTTTTTATGAATCCCAACATATTATTTGCTTTGTGAATTGTGGTATTCACATGATCTACAAATGTCAACTTCGAGTCAAGAATTACTCCTAAGTCCCTAATTTTATCGCACCTTACAACCAGCTGGTTTCCTAGAGTACATGTAAAATCTAGAGTACTGTTTTTTCTGGAATATGATATAATATTGCATTTTTTAACATTAATATCCAGCAGACTTTTAACGCACCAGTTGTAGAAAACATCAATTTCATTTTTAAAATGTAGCAAATCAGAATTGTCAAAGATTTCCATGTACAGTTTCATATCGTCAGCATATATGAGCACATTTAAACGATTTAACACAAACTTCACGTCATCCACAAATAAAATAAATAATAAAGGACCTAAATGAGATCCCTGTGGAACTCCCGAGGTAACATTAACTGGCGAAGATATTTTTCCTTTAAAGCGGACCATCTGTGTTCTTTCTGTCAAGTATGATCCAATCCATTTTAAAAGTGTACTTGTCATACCTAAACGTTTTAATTTAAAAAGAAGTAAGGGAATGTCTACTCTGTCAAAGGCCTTACTAAAGTCAGTGTATAAGGTTTCAACGGTATTACCTCTATCCATTGCTTCAATAGAAAAGTTTACAAATTCCAACAGATTAGTAGACGTTGACCGACCTTTAAAAAAACCATGTTGATTATTTGAAATGCGATGCTTAACCTGGTTAAATATTTTCTGGTTAACAATTGCTTCAAACATTTTAAGAATGCATGACATAATTGCAATACCTCTATAGTTTTTAATATCTGACCGTTTGCCAGATTTAAATATTGGAACTAAAAATGATTTCTTCCAAATTTTTGGAAAATCACCTGTTTTGAGAGATAAATTGTAAAGCCAAAACAATGGTTTAACAAAACTTGTTGCTATTTTTTTCAATAAAAATGGAGGTATTTCATCAGGACCAGGTCCTTTGCCAGCATCGAGACTTTCAAAAGTCATAAAAATTTCTTTAACAGTGATATTTTTAACTGATACTTCATTTTCCCCTTCATGTAGGTAAGAAAAATAGTTCAAATCGAGAGCATTACTGGATTTCTTATATGTGTTTTGGAAAAAACGAGCAAATAGGTTACAAATATCCTCACTATCAGTGCTATCACACTCTTCAAACTGCATGCGTGATGGGAATGTACATGACTTCATTTTTTCGTTCGCGAAGTTAAAGAACGTTTTGGGATCTGATTTTATATTGTTCTCTACTCTTGAATTGTAATTCTCATATGCTGACGATATTTCTG